ATTATACCAGCTCCTGCGATCGGATGCACCATGCATTCAAGTCCGTTTCAGAATAATCATACAGCTCCAAGTTTTTGCCCCTATCGAACAAGTCGGCGCCATTCAGCGAGAATATGGGCTGCTCGAGCAGTGCACATCATCGCGTTGTAGAAAATTTCTGCATACTACGACCGGTCCTCTGGAGACCCAGTATTCCTTCATCTCAGCCTAGTCCTGCGTTGCCTTCAGGGCGGTTACGTGACATCTTGAACTTTTGTGCATGGTCCTGTTACGAAACCCTGTGACGCAGACGGATAGAGGGCAGCGGCTGCCAAAGCATCGAAACGTGTAAAAACGTATGGCGAGCCAGGACGGGATTTTTCAAGGGGAGGGGACTCCGGGGTGGGTGAGCTACTTATAGTCGGTGAAAAGCTGGAGTGAGCGAAGTCACAACGGCCATAGAGTGCCATGCGGACGAGAGAGTGCAGAGAAAAAGAGAAGATCGACGCGTTCAAAGGGATTAAGTTCAAGTTGTCTGTAGACCCTTCAGGGCCAGCGCTCATCATCGCTGTGTAAAACTAGCGGGAGGCGTATCTGGTCGCTGTTAGAAGGGGCTGTACTCGGCCATGAGAGAAATTTTTTCAGTTGATGATTTTTCCCGCTTCACAAATACTAGATATAGTCATCAGCCATGCCAACAAGAGGGAGTGTGAAGGGGCGTGGATTGGAGCGCGGATGCGGTAGCTTTTCCCATCAAATGGTTGGTGTCCTGGGGGCTGTGGAGGGGGTGGGAGAAGGGAGAACGTGGCATTTCACAGATTCTTTCGATGATAAGGGAAAATCTTGTAAAGGCCAGGACTGCCCAGATGGTGCGAGTTCGCTTCTATTGTTACAATGGTGTAGGAAAATAAACAAAAAAGTTTTGGGAGGGTGTGGGGAAGGTAAGAGGTGGGAACGAAGAAGCGTGTTCACCCACCGAGTTTTTCTCCTCATAGGCTGAGCCATGAATCCTCATCCTGCTGGATTAGAGTTGTTTCAGCGCACCCTGCGATACCAAACACGGAGAGAGAGAAAGAAAGACAGAACGAAGCCAAAACTGCGCTATTCCCACAGTGTTTCCCATTGGGATGTTTTTCCCAAGTAACGAACTGTAACAAGCACCTGTCACAGTTGTCCTTTCAGACACACTACGTTCGGTCAAGCCCACTAATCGCTCTGTGAAGGTGCAAAATTTTGGGCAGCCACAAGAGGATTCCGAACAGCATCAAATCACTGTAAAAGACGTCGATGGCCAGTCTATATGCATGGTGAGCGGCATTTGATTATTCACAGATTGGTCTTCCACAAACGAAACATGCTAATCGCTTCGTGACTGCAGAACGGCGGCGGTAATCCACTGTTCCAAGTGAGCGAGTGGAAACGTCTTACCCTCCTGGGCATTCAGTCCCCGAATAAGAAGTCTTGCATGGAGCTGGTACTTGCCAATAAAGGAAGTGAGTTTTCAGAGTGTTCTGTTTAGTATTTTCAGCACCTGCAGTAAGGCTGAGAAGTGATCTTTTTCCCCACTGGCTATCGTGTTCCCCTCCTGAGGGCAAAAAGAGGTATTTCCAAGTGCGCCATGAGGGCGGCTACGATTGTCCAGATAAAAGATAGGGAGGAACGTAGTCTTGATCGCTGTACATGCCGGGGAGGGGCGCGTCACTGAGAGTGGGTTTAGAGCGGCGCCGACCCGATCTCCACCAGTTGTTGAGGCGAGCAAGCGACAATAATTGGTGGAAAAGGGACTGACGCCGCGCCAAACCCGCCCCCTTCCCATCTCCCCTCTGACATGCCCCAGCATCCGCAACGAACGAGACTATGCATAATGGGAAAGGAGTGGCTATGAGTAGGTAGCGCGGCGCACTGGGACCCCCCTGCTGCTCTTCACTATAAGCTGTATACCTAACTTACTCAATTTTTTTTTCTAGGCGACATCCATTTTCGCTGATATCCGCTACCAGGTCGATTGGGTTTGTGCGACTACAGGTAAAGAAAGATTCCTCCGGCTTGACCATCCCCTTTTTGTGATGTTCCACGAGTTCGAACCTAGCTGAGAGCCCGATGTAAAACTGTTATCAGACCTATGCAGTCGCCCTTGCACAGATAGCACATATAGTTCAAATAGATTGATGGGCAGTAGGTTGCGCAATCATGAGCAGAAGGCGGCCGCTTTGCTTCCGATGGGATTTTTGGGACAGTTGTTACTCAGTCTCTGAATAACATAAGACGGGATGCATAAATGGAAATATCCGCGCCATTCTTATCGCCCTAATGTGGAGGGAAAGCGGATAAGAGAATCGTAAATTGCCGCTCCATCGCGCGGCGATGAGCGCGGCGTTTTCTTAACTCGTTTTAACCTGTCCATTAGAGCACTGGACTTCATGTACCCGTCATCGTAGACATTCATGACTATTTTCGGTTCTGAATTGCCTGTTGTCGCCATCTACTACCTGGAACCATCGTCATTTGCGGCGCGACGTCGCACGCGACGCCCACCAGCGCGGCGAATTACGATTCTCTTGTCACATACCCGATGTGGAGTGCACCGCGAGGCTTTATCTCTGATTTTCACTTTTCTCATGCTGAGTTTACCTTTTTCATGAAAATACAGTTCTTTCAGGCATCTGTCCCAGGAACATGAAACTAAAAACCGATAATTGTGATGAGTCGAAAGGAGAGATATGCGGTCATACATACCTTGTTGTTCTGCTTAACGGCACTGCCCAAAACTAACAGACCGAACAGTGAATGTACGAAAATAAACTGCACAACAAACAGATTGTTTAAATAAATAGTTGCAGATAAGGAGTGAAGATTTTTTTCCAAATACAGTGGAAAATTGAGAAAATAGTCCGCAGTTTCCTGCTATCCAAAATTTCTTCTTTTGCCCAGTTGCTCACATTGGTTCCTTATTTTCGAAAACCCACGACTCTTTATTCGACTCCATTGTTCAGCTCCATATTCGTAGAGGCTTCTCCTCCATAACAAAACGTCTTGAACGCCACATACACTCGAAATCCCTGAGATGCGGTAGGCGTGGCTGCGTACTTCAAATTGACGTGAAGGCTGTTGTGCTTTTGATGAGATATTTTCCTTTTGGGGCAAATATGGTTATGTCCTTGGCCAACACAGAACAAGATGACAGTTGTCTCAAATTGAAATATCCCACGAGTAACCTGTCCTATGCATGTTCAAATGCCACGCCTACTCCGTCTCAGGGATAAGGAGTGTAGTGTGTGGATGCAGATCACATTTTGGGGCCTGATTTCGTATTCATTTTATATATTTATATTATTGTAACGTGTACTTAACGTACATCTGACCAACGAGTATACTTGAAGTGCGACTTGCCCTCAACAAAGCGACGATGAGAAACACCGTTTGCTGAGCGGCGTAGTTGGGACCGTTAGCCAACGTCTTGTGATGATTTCAAGAAGCAATATGGCTGGGCACAGCATCTTCATCTTCTCGTGACTCATGATCGCAAACATCAAGTCTGGCAGCTTACATGATTAAGCGAATGTTGCCAATAACGCTTGACACATTTGGACTAAACTTGGTTCACATGGGAATTTGACGAAATTGGCGCGGAAGGTATTCATCAGCCGGAACACATTCTGCCACTTATGTGGTTATGCGTGGGCAAGCGACTGCGTTCTGATCCAAGTTACAAACTGATCTATAGGTTCAAGAGTCACCCCCTAGGACGCCTACCTTAGGCAAGGCGTTTCAGATCGCTGTGCAGGTACGGTAGCCGCAGAACACAACAAGACGGGCCGCCGGTAGACTACGTGGCACGGATACGACTCTGGTCAATTACGTAGCTGGACGACCGCGCGCCAGCGGCGCACTGTGGGGGCCGGCGCGCGGCGCCGCTCGCGCTAACCCGAACGGGTGGCAACTAGCTTCATCTTGGTCAAGTGACGAATCTGGGACCCATTCCAATCCAGCGGCCCAAATGACTCTATATGAATTCATTTCTGTTTCTTGGTACTCTTTGTACACATGGGTTCTCACGATGGCCCCTCTATGGAGACTGAGCAACGCACAGGATCGAGAGAACGCGACGAGACACATTCGAAGCCGTTAAACTCACTGTCTAAGGAAGCATACGCCTAAAGTGATCTGGCGGCTCATGTTTAGACCTACTCCGGGGTGTGGTTCGACTTGTTTTTAGCTAAGGAGAGCACTATTGTCTCAAACTTTATCTGTTAAGTGGACCGGAACGCATAAGTCGAGCTCAACAGTCCTAAGCCGCCACGGTAATTGCACTGGTGATGCATCCTCTAGGAAACGGTTCCATTGGTGAGCGATGAGCCACGAGAATAGTGAAATGCCCGCTTCGTCGCTAGCGCCAATGGTGGGACGCGACGTTTCCTTGGATTGTGCCTACCCTCGGTTAAAGATCCATTTCATGTAGACAGAGGAAATGGTGCATTGTGTCTACTTTTTGGTCGATACATTGATCTCGAACAATTACTACGCCCCCGAATTTGTCCGTCGTGAGGGGCGAGCGTCGCACGGCGAGTCCACACGATGCGCGGCTATCACTAGTTGTGCACTAGTTCTGGCTTACAAGTCTACCTGGTGAAACCTGTGAACTCTTGTTGGACGCTGGAGCAGAGCCTTTCCAAGCCATATGTGTAAATCCTCGTGCAACTCGAGAACGGCAGCTGTCGTAGAGCAGGTCGACACTGTCAGATGGAAGTAGCAAAGTGGCCAAACTGCCCCCTTCTGTCCGCCCCCCCCCCCCGTCGCAAACGGCAGTAGCCCACGTGTTCACTAGTGAAGCTGGTACTGCTTTTTGAACCCAAACACCGAATGAGGCCATACTTCCAAGTTTATAGCTTCAGTGATTCGGCTCGTTACATCTAGTGTCACATCCTGAAGGAGGCCATAGCTTGCCGGGTACGCGCGCTGGCCTACGCAGTACCAGCGCAATTTGATTTCGGGCATATCCGCTCGATAGCCATGACGTTGGCTTTAAGATGAGTGTTCACATATTTTGTATAAACCATTTTTTTTCAACAAGAAATTCTTCAACGGCTCTTTCTACCATTTTGTGAGAGGTACATTGGTGTGGATGTTTGGGCGGGCAAAAATTCTTGGTGGGGGTTGTGATGGGTATTTTGGGATGAAGAGATCAGAGTGGTTGTAGGTTGTGGGGGTGTGGACGGTGCTGGGCGTTGACAGCGGTGTCGAGTTCAAGTGGGATGGTGTTGCGGTGGGGGGAGGGGGATGAGTCGCAGAGAGGACGGGCTGGGGGACACTAATATGGCTTGCCCGCGTACCTCATAGTTGGGAGCACGGGAGCGCTGGGGAGAGAGAATCACCAGGATCGAGTAGGCAATGGAGGGAACAGGGGTGGAGATGAGTGGAACTGGTGGTAGAACGGGCGACGTGAGCAGTGAGTTGTAGCCGGGTGGCGTTGTAGAGTGTGTGAGAAGGCGCTGCGAGAATGCTGGGGCGAGCGTGGGGGCGGGTGTTGGGTGAAGGTCCAGTAGGGTCGGTGTGGGGTGGTGCGTAAGATGGAGCTGTGCTAGTTGGGGGTAGTGGCGCAGAGTTAAGAAAGGCTGAAAGGGGGGGTTGTAGTTGGTAAGCGACATATTTGCAAGTTCTTCAAGAACTCTGGCACTGATGGGTGGCATCTGTATTTGTTGTTGAAGTGTAGCGTCCCCATGTTCGTTCTTCAGCTACTCAGCAAATCGTGACTCACGGGGGAACTGTCGAGGGAAAAGCCGACAGATAGTATGGGGGCGTGTCGCCGAGGTGCATGTGGAGAACGCTGAAACTGGTATATGTCAGGTTCAGCAGAGAATCGGCGCTGTGCGCCGAAAATCAGCGCCCACTAGCCGCCTCAGATCTGGCTTTGGTGTACGGTTGTGAGTCGACATTAAGGATCGGATCAGTGCAGTGCCATCTGATACTGCGCGACAATGTCGCTAATATTGCAGGTTGGTCAACTAGTTCTTAAATACGCAGCTCTAGCGGCCTCGCCCCAACGAGCAGGCCGCGCCGTTTTTGGGGGGAGATACCTTTGCACTCAGAAAAGTTTCCATAACTGCTGGAGCTTCCGCCCAGTGTTGAGAGGGGCTATTCCTCTAAGCTGCCACTTTTTGGATTTGCCTCTTCCCGACTAGGCCAGGACCCTGCAAGGCGTAAGGTGAGCAGCAGCCGTCTCGCGAGGTCGGAAATAATCCATAGTTACCTTTGTCAGCGCAAGTTTAGTGCGAAGTCGGAATCACAGACACACCATCGGTGAGCTGCCGTGCGTATACGTAATTGCGAGTGACAGGCCGATTTCCTTAGTCCGAGTGCCGGGCGCTTGATGGATCCGTTTGCGGAAGTTCAGCCTCTCAGTGAGGTATTCGTCTTGAAATGACATCCACCACAGCTCTCAAGTGGTGGCTAACAACCACATCAAGCGTCATGATTTGTCCTCTTCAAGATTTGATCTCAAAGGCCGTGCAGAAACTGTCGCTGCACCACCTCTCCCTCCTGATAGTATATTTCTGTGCCACTGAAATAACGAAACTCACTGGGTTCACACGAATCACCGCTCGACAGCACTCCAACAACGGTGATCTTTTTCTTTCTGTCGGTTTGGAACAATGGACCTCCGCTATCACCCTGAATCTCATTGACTGCCATTTAAAGACAAAACGCACGGTCACCTGCGAGGTGCATCCTTGGCATGTGCGGGGCTAACGGGCTGTCGGAGCTGGGGGTGGGGATCCAGGATCGTGGGATGAGCTGATTCCTCCATACTCCGCCTAAAGACATATAGATGGCAGAACAGGCGCTGCCATCTATATGCATCTATACTGGCCAGCCTTCCGCACCACGCGTGTCGCGCGCGACGCTTTGGCACTTTGCCAAGTCTTCACTTCTGTACCTCGCAGGTGAGCGCGCGTTTTATCTTTAACTATTGTGAGAGGCATTTCAGACTCAAGTCGTGAAACTCACATTGCATGAACCTACACCAGGTTTAGTTGCAACAACAATCTCACCGTCTTTCTCTTGTGAAAGATCAACGTTTACCACTTGATAGCCATTATTATCCTGAGCTGTGCCATTGGCTGAACATTCAACAGTAGACGAGATTCCGCAGTCCGAGGAATCGCTGCCACCGTATCCCAGGCGCTTGGTTTATTTCTCAAGTTTAATGTAGTGCTTATTGCCATGTTATACCCCTTCGACAATGCGTCTCAACATTGGCTCCATCGCTTGGTACGCACGGACCATGCGGCAAAGAATTGGTTTACGGTAGCAATGACTGACGGACCGGGGAATCCTTCTTAATAGCAACACCTTGAAAAGACAATACTTTCTGTACGTACGGCTTGTCGCTCCGATTCCAGCTGATTTGAGATGCTTGGCGATTTTCGTGGAAGTTTGCGGCATGCAAACAGGTGTCGCTATGCCCTCTGGCACGGGTTGGATCAACTCGAATATTGCGAAATCGTTCTCATATGAGCACTCATTGTAGTTGCCTGGTGTATAGGTCTGAATATCATCTGTTTTACATATTTTTTTAGACTACATGTGTGTGCATTTGGCCAAATTTTTGACTTTCATGGTAGAAGACTCATAACGACGCCTCCGCTGGAACATCCTCGCCCGCAGTCACAAACCGGACCTTATGCCGCTGTACCTACGATGCATGTGAAAGCACTGCACTGGCTGCTTTGGCTGACTGGGCCACGTTCCATGCATGAGCGACGCTAGTGACCAAACCGTCTAGAAACAGATAGCACGGGTAGTGGGTGTTCTGATATGAACCAGCAACCGATACAAGACTCCCCAGCGAAGGAGAGCAGAAAGAATTTTGAAAACAGACTGAATTGAGGTCCCCTTTGACGATCACACAGCCTCATTGTACGAGTTTTGTGGGCTTGCTGACAAATTGACACCTGCAGCCTCTGCGCAACCCCTGGCTCACAAATCGTCTTTCGCATAGTGTGGAGCTGAATGCCATCCAAAAATGAAAAACAACACAAAAAAGTCGGAGCAAAATCATAACAGAAAATCACTCAAAATTAGAAAACCCCGACTACGAAAATAGGGTTACGGGAGAGGCACGGCAAACTCCTACACCAATGCAACAGTATCGCTGGAGAATGTGAACAGCGGGAAAAATGCAACTGGTATCCAGAAAAGTACTGCTTTTGAGCGCTTGTCGGTGAGCACATGAAATCGTCCTACGACGCTGCAGACAACAGAAGGCATGCACGTGGTTTACCGTGCACGTAGTTGTCTTGTAGCTGAAAAACGTTGAGACCGTGAAAAGTCATGCGCCTCTGGCTGCTCTATCTCGCCCTTTCGAGTGACGAAGTGGTACTTTCTGTACCAGTGCAGGCCTAGTTACCGAATCCATGGCGGCAACCTGGTCGCGGAAATAGTCTTCGAAAGTGCAGCCAGTAGCTTCAAGCATATTGCATCGTTGCAGGCTAAAACCGACGGAACATTGGACCAAAATTTCCAAGAAGCGGGAATGGTTTGTTCCAGATGCTCCAGCGCCGGTTATACAAGAGGAAGTGTGTTGTTTGCGCATCAGCTCTTGAGGCGCGACGATAACCATGCAAAATTACATTACCGTGCTAACCTTATACACTTGTCTTATAAGGCTAGTGGGGCAGCCACGAATGTTTCGGCAGATACTTCCGATTGTGATCCTGTAGAATCGGACTGGAGCGACCAACTCCTTGGAATTTCTGAATGAATGAAGGAGGCTGGCTTCAAGTCAACGCCCTATAGATACAACTGGAATCATTGCAAACAAGTACCTGTGCTTTTTTTGCTTGCATTCTTCTGGCGTGTACACATCATGAGATTGAGCTTTTCGGAGGCAGTGAGCTGCTGTCAAGACGTGGTAGGGGGTTATAAGCGCCCCGCTACATCCAATGCCTGAAATCGTGGATACTGGCATGATGGAAAATCATGGCGAGGCAGCAAAAAAGAAGAATACCTGATAATAAAACAAATAACGTAATGGTTACTAAATTGTGTAGGAAAAAAAAGCTCAGCTTCTCTTCCGCACATGAAAGACTGACGTTAGCCAATACCGCAACATTTACTGTAGGATTCTCAGTCCGAAAAAAGGCAGATCGAAGGCTAGGATAGGACTCATCCGCGAAAGCTCCAATCAAGAGTGAAGCAATAAACCCAGAATCACAATTCCCGAATGTTATTCCCAAAATGAATCAAAATTGAGCAGAAAAATTCCATAATTGAAGGAGGGGGTAACAGCATTCTGGCAGGATGGGAGAGCTGATGCAACGAGACCGCACAGCGCTTAACTTGAGAAAAATCGACCACCTCCTCCTCTTGCGGTCCACCTCACTTAAGGCTGCATTGACACTTTGCAGCAGCGTCCACTAGCGACCATCCAGCGTTTCGAGCGTTCCTAACGTCTGGCAGCGTCAGCGGCCAAGAAAATATAGATATCGATCTAGCGCTTGTCAGCGTCTGCCAGCGGCCAGGAGTAGAGAACATGGGAAGGTAGGAGTGTAGCAGACTGCTGGTATATACCATTTTCACTTTAAATCGGACACTTTTCAAACCAAATCGGACACTTTTCAAACCAAATCGGACACTTTTCAAACCAAATCGGACACTTTTCAAACCAAATCGGACACTTTTCAAATCAAATCGGACACACCCCTTACAATTAGGTGGTTGATAACTAGACCACACTAGGTACTGTTGCAAGCCCCGCCCCATTATCCCGCCCACTTCTCAGCGCGGACAGGGTTTTCCGAGATGCTTCATGAAATCTGCTCCCTCGACTTTTTTCGTTTTTGCCCTTTGCACACACACACACACACACACACACACACACACACACACACACACACACACACACACACACACACACACACACACACACACACACACACACACTTCAACTGAAAAAGATTGATACCTATACAGATCTGACTCCGCCCACTTAACAATGAAGTTACGTAAGTTCTGAATTTTTATAACTTTTTTCGACGTAGTTCTTTTCACATCCAATCTTCACACAAAACGAATAGCCATGCAGCACACCAGGCCGCGCCCCTCTGACCGCCACCACTTGTGTTTGAGAACGTAATCGCTAGTACGGACACTAGCCGCCGATTTGCATGCATTTCGAAAAGTGGGCGGGCTGCCAGAAGTGGCGGAGCTTCACTGGGTGGCGGAGACCAATCGCTAAAGCGCTCAGAAAGCGAAAAACCGGAAAAAGAAACCAAAATTCCCTAGATAACACAATGTGGCGGGGTCAAAGGGGACCTTGTTGTTGTGGCATGGTTATTTCGTTTTGCGAAGATTGGATGTGAAAAGAACTACGCCGAGAAAAGTTATAAAAATTCAGAACTTACATAACTTCATTGTTAAGTGGGCGGAGTCAGATCTGTATAGGTATCAATCTTTTTCAGTTGAAGTGTGTGTGTGTGTGTGTGTGTGTGTGTGTGTGTGTGTGTGTGTGTGTGTGTGTGTGTGTGTGTGTGTGTGTGTGTGTGTGTGTGCAAAGGGCAAAAACGAAAAAAAGTCGAGGGAGCAGATTTCATGAAGCATCTCGGAAAACCCTGTCCGCGCTGAGAAGTGGGCGGGGATAATGGGGCGGGGCTTGCAACAGTACCTAGTGTGGTCTAGTTATCAACCACCTAATTGTAAGGGGTGTGTCCGATTTGATTTGAAAAGTGTCCGATTTGGTTTGAAAAGTGTCCGATTTAAAGTGAAAATGGTATATATGGGAAAGTACGAGGGAGCAGACAAGTTGATTAGGCATCGTGAAGTTGCGGCGTGTGTAAGCGCACCGTACTTCTACACACCGTACTCCTGGGACGCTGAACTTTACTTTCCTAGACTTTCGAGTGGCGGTTGGTTGGTTGTTGGTTGTTGGCGGACGCTGTGATGGTTGTTGGCGGACGCTAGTGATCGCTGGTGGACGCTGACAGCCGCTGGATCGATATTTATCCTAGCCCCTCGACAAGCCGACCGTCGCTAGCGGAAGCTGAAGGACGCTGGTGGATGCTGGCAGACACTAGATTAATATCTGTACTTTCCTAGCCCCTCAAGACGCTGATGATCGCTGGTGGACACTGGTAGACGCTGCCGCTCGCTAAATCGATATCTATACTTTCCCTGTCGCTGGCGCACATTCGAAACGTTGTTGGTCGCAGGTGGACGCTGAAAAGTATGAACGCAGCTTCACACGTTGACGACAATCGCGTTTTGCGGGAAAGCGCCGCGTGGGACAATGGCGTGTTTTCGCATGCGTCCGTCCCT